TTGTTTTTTTAAAGTTGACATCCCTTTATCAATCCCGTGCAAGATGAAGGCCTCTCTATCTCTTGCTCTCTCTCTCTCTCCACGCTGTGTCGGTGATCGGGGAGCTGCTATTTGACCATCCTTCAACCTCCGATGGTCAGTGCGGGATCGACTCCGAAATTCAGCGCCACTGATGTCAGCCGTGGTCCTGGGAATCGGGGGGGGGGGGCACTCGGGTTCGTCGCACAGCTGCGCTCACCGCTGCGCCACCGCTCGCTCCATCCTCGTACGTATCGATGATGTTCGTGCACAGTGACCATTACTTGTGCGCGGGTCATCTTCATCATCAGAGGTGCTCGCCAACACTCTGCTAAGAGGCTATACGGGGGTTGTTGGGGGGGGGGACGATCTTTGTCCGTCCGTGCTGTGTCCAGCTGTGTGTGTGTGTATCGTGTGTGTGTGTATCGTGTGTGTGTGTATCGTATGTGAGTGTATCGTGTGTGTATCGTGTGTGTGTGTGTCGTGTGTGAGTGTATCGTGTGTGTGTGTATCGTGTGTGTGTATCGTGTGTGAGTGTATCGTGTGTGAGTGTATCGTGTGTGAGTGTATCATGTGAGTGTATCGTGTGTGTGTGTATCGTGTGTGTGTATCGTGTGTGAGTGTATCGTGTGTGAGTGTATTCGTGTGTGAGTGTATCATGTGAGTGTATCGTGTGTGTGTGTGTATCGTGTGTGTGTATCGTGTGTGAGTGTATCGTGTGTGAGTGTATCGTGTGTGTGTGTGTCGTGTGTGTATCGTGTGTGTGTGTGTGTGAGTGTATCGTGTGTGTGTATCGTGTGTGTGTATCGTGTGTGAGTGTATCGTGTGTGTGTGTGTCGTGTGTGAGTGTATCGTGTGTGTGTGTATCGTGTGTGAGTGTATCGTGTGTGTGTATCGTGTGTGTGAGTGTATCGTGCGTGTGTGTATCGTGTGAGTGTATCGTGTGTGAGTGTATCGTGTGTGTGTATCGTGTGTGTGAGTGTATCGTGTGTGTGTGTATCGTGTGAGTGTATCGTGTGTGAGTGTATCGTGTGTGTGTATCGTGTGTGTGAGTGTATCGTGTGTGTGTGTATCGTGTGTGTGTGTATCGTGTGTGAGTGTATCGTGTGTGAGTGTATCGTGTGTGAGTGTATCGTGTGTGAGTGTATCGTGTGTATCGTGTGTGAGTGTATCGTGTGTGAGTGTATCGTGTGTGAGTGTATCGTGTATCGTGTGTGTGTGTATCGTGTGTGTGTGTATCGTGTGTGAGTGTATCGTGTGTGAGTGTATCGTGTGTATCGTGTGTGAGTGTATCGTGTGTGAGTGTATCGTGTGTGTGTATATCGTGTGTGTGTATCGTGTGTGTGTATCGTGTGTGTGTGTATCGTGTGTGTATCGTGTGTGTGTATCGTGTGTGTGTATCGTGTGTGTGTATCGTGTGTGTGTATCGTGTGTGTGTGTGTATCGTGTGTGTGTGTATCGTGTGTGAGTGTATCGTGTGTGAGTGTATCGTGTGTGAGTGTATCATGTGAGTGTATCGTGTGTGTGTGTGTATCGTGTGTGTGTATCGTGTGTGAGTGTATCGTGTGTGAGTGTATCGTGTATGTATCGTGTGTGTGTGTGTGAGTGTATCGTGTGTGTGTGTATCGTGTGTGTGTATCGTGTGTGAGTGTATCGTGTGTGTGTGTGTCGTGTGTGAGTGTATCGTGTGTGTATCGTGTGTGTGTATCGTGTGTGTGAGTGTATCGTGCGTGTGTGTATCGTGTGAGTGTATCGTGTGTGAGTGTATCGTGTGTGTGTATCGTGTGTGTGAGTGTATCGTGTGTGTGTGTATCGTGTGAGTGTATCGTGTGTGAGTGTATCGTGTGTGTGTATCGTGTGTGTGAGTGTATCGTGTGTGTGTGTGTATCGTGTGTGAGTGTATCGTGTGTGAGTGTATCGTGTGTGTGTGTGTATCGTGTGTGAGTGTATCGTGTGTGAGTGTATCGTGTGTGAGTGTATCGTGTGTGAGTGTATCGTGTGTATCGTGTGTGAGTGTATCGTGTGTGAGTGTATCGTGTGTGAGTGTATCGTGTATCGTGTGTGTGTGTATCGTGTGTGTGTGTATCGTGTGTGAGTGTATCGTGTGTGTGTATATCGTGTGTGTGTATCGTGTGTGTGTGTATCGTGTGTGTGTATCGTGTGTGTGTATCGTGTGTGTGTGTGTATCGTGTGTGTGTGTATCGTGTGTGAGTGTATCGTGTGTGTGTGTGTGTGTATCGTGTGTGTGTGTATCGTGTGTGTGTGTATCGTGTGTGTGTGTATCGTGTGTGTGTGTATCGTGTGTGTATCCTGTGTGTGTGTGTATCGTGTGTGTGTGTATCGTGTGTGTGTGTGTATCGTGTGTGTGTATCGTGTGTGTGTGTATCGTGTGTGTGTGTATCGTGTGTGTGTATCGTGTGTGTGTGTATCGTGTGTGTGTATCGTGTGTGTGTGTATCGTGTGTGAGTATCGTGTGTGTGTGTATCGTGTGTGAGTGTGTATCGTGTGTGTATCGTGTGTGTGAGTATCGTGTGTATCGTGTGTGTGAGTATCGTCTGTGTGTATCGTGTGTATGTGTATCGTGTGTATGTGTATCGTGTGTGAGAGTATCTGTAATCATGGAGACAAAGAACCCCCATATAGCCTGCAACAGACTATTGGGGCAAGTGCTGTTTACGAGCACCTATCAAAGCCCTGCACGGCACACGAGGGGGTGGGTGGCCAATACCACGCCCGGCCGCCTTTGTCTTCCCAGTTGTTCTACACACCGCACCAGGTACTCATTTGAGGCCGAGTGCACCTAGGAGAGAGATGGGAGCGGTGGCGCAGTGGTTAACGCACGAACGCCGCTGCCCAAGTTCGCTTGGCGAGTGACATTAGAACCGGTGCGGTGTGTACGTCATCGTCGTCAACCTGGAACCATTGAAGACAAAGACGGCCGCGCGTTGTCCTGGCCACACCAACCTCTCTCATAGGTGCTCGCTTCACAGCACTTGCCCCAAGAAGTCAGTCGAGGCTATATGGGGGGTCTTTGTCTTTGCAGAATGCCACTTACGGTCATCGCAATGGGCTCTGTTAGCGAGCGCCTGTTAACGCAAACTCGAAACACTCGGCTCGCCCCCGTGACGCGACTTCGCGTTAACACAACCTCACCGCGTTAACACAACCTCACCACCACCAACATCCTGGCCACCACCACCACCACCACCCTCGCCGAGACTCTCACGTTAACACAACCTCACCACCACCATCACCACCAACATCCTCACCGACTCTCGCGTTAGCACAACCTCGCGTTAACACAACCTCGCCACCACCACCAATATCGACAACTCGGTAACATCCTTCATTGTAACAACAAAGACAAAGGTCCCCCGTGTAGCCTTAACAGACTTTTGGGGCAAGTGCTGTTAGCGAGTAGCAGCAGCAATGGAGGTCGCTGGCACTGTGGCACACGAGGGGGTGGGTGACCAGCACCACGCCCGGCCGCTTTTGTCTCCCCCCAGTGGCGATGTTTACTACGCACCGCACCAGGTACTCATTTGAGGCTGAGTCGACCTAGGGGGGAGGCTCCGGGACCGGTTCAGACAATCGTCGCCGGTGGTGTTGGTGGCCGTGAGCGGGAATCGAACTCGGGTCACCGGGTTCGTAGCGCAGCGCGAACCGCGGTGCCCCCCACACACACACACACAGACAGCCTCGATTTAACACAATCTCGCTTTAACACAATATCACTTTAACACAACCTCGCTTTAACACAATATCGCTTTAACACAATCTCGCTTTAATACAATCTCGCTTTAACAGAATCTCGCTTTAACACAATATCACTTTAACACAATATCACTTTAACACAATATCGCTTTAACACAACCTCGCTTTAACACAACCTCGCTTTAACACAATATCACTTTAACACAATATCGCTTTAACACAACCACACTTTAACACAGCCTCGCTTTAACACAACCTCACTTTAACACAATATCACTTTAACACAATATCACTTTAACACAACCTCGCTTTAACACAACCTCGCTTTAACACAATATCACTTTAACACAATATCGCTTTAACACAACCTCGCTTTAACACAACCTCGCTTTAACACAATATCGCTTTAACACAATCTCGCTTTAACACAACCACACTTTAACACAATATCGCTTTAACACAACCTTGCTTTAACACAATCTCGCTTTAACACAATGTCACTTTAACACAACTTTGCTTTAACACAACCTCGCTTTAACACAACCTCGCTTTAACACAATGTCACTTTAACACAATCTCACTTTAACACAATTTCACTTTAACACAATATCGCTTTAACACAATCTCGCTTTAACACAATCTCGCTTTAACACAACCTCGCTTTAACACAATCTCGCTTCAACACAATCTCGCTTTAACACAATCTCGCTTTTACACAACCTCGCTTTAACACAATCACACTTTAACACAACCTCGTTTAACACAATCTCGCTTTAACACAATCTCATTTTAACACAACCTCGCTTTAACACAATCTCGCTTTAACACAATCTCACTTTAACACAATCTCGCTTTAACACAACCTCGCTTTAGCACAATCTCACTTTAACACAATATCGCTTTAACACAATCTCACTTTAACACAATCTAGCTTTAACACAACCTCGCTTTAACACAATCTCACTTTAACACAACCTCGCTTTAACACAATCTCACTTTAACACAATCTAGCTTTAACACAATCTCGCTTTAACACAATCTCGCTTTAACACAATCTCGCTTTAACAAAATCACACTTTAACACAACCTCGTTTAACACAATCACACTTTAACACAATCTCACTTTAACACAATCTCGCTTTAACACAATCTCGCTTTAACACATCACTTTAACACAACCTCGCTTTAACACACTTGTAACACACTTGTAACACACTTGTAACACACGTGTAAGTGTGTTGTTATGTTTCAGCACATTCGTTACTCACCCGGTGATATCCATTCCTTTGATGTGCATTGCGTCGCCGCTTGTTAAACAATGTGTGTCATATTTGTATTATATTAGTCCGTGTATATATTAAGTGTGTGTTGTGTGTTGAAGTACAGCTGTGTGAGGGTGTTTGTCAGTGTGTGTGTGCCCTATCTTTGTTACGTGTCCGTGTGTATGTCTCCGTATTAAGGATGTACCTACATCAGGGTGTATTAGCTTGCATGTTGAAGCGCTTTTGCCCGTGTGAGTTTGTGTCTCGATATTAATGCTGCCTATGTGTCTGTATATTAGTGTCTATGTTTTGGCGTTAGTGTATTACTCAACAGTATATCATCAGTGCGTTACACAATGTGTGTGTTTGCGATAGTGAAGCATGTGTCTCTTTGCCCAGTGTTATTTTGTGTGTGGGTCCATGCCTGAGTGTGTGTGTCACTCTAATACTGACTGTATGTGCACAACTCACTCTGGGTGTGTGTGTGTGTCACCGTGTCCCACCACGTGTGTCCATACAACTGCCCGCTCTGTGTACGTTTGAGCGTGACCCACTCCCAGTCCAGAGCCAAGACCTCTTTGACTGTGCGTGCAATATCTTCCCCGTGAGTCTGCGTGTCTGCCCTGCGATGTCCGCCTGTCTGTCAGCGTGTTTGCTGGCGTGAGTCTACAACTAACTGGGTCTGTCTGCTCTCACTGAATGCAATGCCTTAATTCTTCTTCTTCTATTACACCCCCCACCACCACCACCACTCCTCCCCTCTGCTCCCCCCACCCACCCCCCTACCCACCCCCCTATCTCTCTATTTTGTGTGTACGTTCAGTCGGCTGGCAGCAACGATCTGCGCATGCGCTACTTTATATCGAGACGAGGAAGGAGGGGGTGGTGGGTGGGTGGGGTGGGGGCCGAGAGGGTGGAGGGGGGGGTGGTGAGGGGCGGGGGTGGAGGGTTGTGAGGGGCGGGGCTTGTGAGGGGGCGGGGCTTGTGAGGGGTGGGGTGGGGGGGTCGCGGGGGGGTGTTGCTGATGTAAGAAGGGGGGAGAGCGCGGGACGCACAGAGCCACAGTGACCTGCTCCTCCGGCGTGCGCACGCGCACAACGCGAACACAACAAAGACAACGATTTCCCGTATGGCTTTAACAGGGGGCTTTAACAGGGGGCTTTGGGGGGGGGGTGGCAATTGCTGTTAGCGAGCACCTGTTAAGGGAACGCCGCGGGTGCCGGCAGCCACGCACGGCTGCCTTTGTCTCCCCCCAGTGATGGATGGTTAACGCAGCGCACCGAGGTGGTTGCAGTTTAAGGCTGAGTTGACCTGGGGGGGGAGGGGGCCCGTATCGCCAACGTGTGTACGTCGTGTCCCGCAAAAATCTAATTTGGGTTATTGGGTTCATGGAACAGTGCGATAACTACTTACTCTGCCCCACCGCTCCAGCGCATAATTTGTAACTGCTGTATATCTAATAGATGTAGACTCTATTAGATATACAGCAGTTACAAATAGTACGTGTAGACTCAATCTTTATCCTGGAGAAATCCTATGATCTATGAAGCTCTTTTTCACAGATGCCCAGTAGTCTTTTTCGCTGATGTCAGTCGTCCAATAGCGATAGACGTCATCCTAGGTATGATGCTGATCTGCATTGGGCGATGTTTGTTGTCTCAAACACTGCTGATGAAGCCGAGGAGAATCCAGCCCAACTGCTGTCCTAGTAATCGCTAAAACAAGTATAACCCGTAAAAACAAAGTTTTTCACTCTAAATCCTTTATATGCGTGGCGGCTAGAGTCCTCTCGTCCTCTGGCTTGAGATGGCTGCCACCTATGGGTCAGATGATTGTCTGCCAGTATTAAGCAATTGGTTATTAAATATTTAATTTGTTTTCCCTAAACAGTGTAAAATTTTGGAAAAAAATTTGCACGAACATTAATTGTCTCGCACAACGAGTCTGTGTGCAAAATGTCAGCTCGATTGGATCACGGGAAGTGGGATTAAAAACGACCGAAAGATTTGCACGGTCGTAAGCAAGCAAGCACGCAAGCACGCAAGCAAGCAAGCGAACTTAATATAACGGATTTAAAAACCCTGTTACCGGGTGTGATGTTGAGAGGTGAAGATCCAGAGGAGACTAGGATCGGATGGGGTTGAGCCAGTAACCTCCTTGGCATGGGGTCGAGAACTTTAAAAACAAATACCAATCTTGATCAATCCACTGCTCGATGCATCTTCCCGAAACTGTCGCCATCTCTCGCGGTCCTGCGATGGAGCAATTCGTCTAGCATCTGCGCAAAAGATGATTGAATTAAGCAACTTCTAATTATTGTTTTTCTCGTAAAGCCAAAGAAGAACGAATAGGTGGCACGAATCTAACCGAGCCTCTGCTTATAATGAGACAAAAACGGAAATGTCATTTTTAGAATCTGGGCTGCAAAACAAATCAAGGCCCAAGAGGTTGATTGATGGGTCTCACTCGGGGCATGGTCAGAAGTTCAACATCACTTGAGGTCCCGAGCTAAACATTTACAGACTGGAGGAATCTGATGAGCTATGAAGCTATTTTTTTCACGCATGTCGATTAATGTAAGTTCGACCCCGATCGTTAGCGAACCAAGTAATTCGCCTCCTGTGGAATGTTACGTCCACGCCGATAGAAAGCGACAAATGCCCGCTCCTGCGGCCACCAGTCTATTTCTATTAGTATTAATACACAGCCTATGGTCCCTTAGGGGACTGTAAAACGACTCCCACTTTATGGAATAGAAATTACCCTCTTGAGGCCCAGACATTATTGACTTGACACGCAGACGTATATGCACACATATGCTGCACATGTGCTCATGTATCTACTGTATAGGCAAATCCACACAGATGAGGGATGCTGCCGTGATGTTGATGCTCAGCATGATCGTGTAATCCAATGGCCGTCCATTCGATTTCCCGGAGCGGCAGTTGAAACAATGGGTACGTTTCATAAACACCCCACCCCCCCCCCCCCCCTCTATCGATGGGATATACTTCAGCTCGTCAATCGACTGGACACCACAGTGTGTGTACACACGAGAGCTGGAACACATTGTAATCGATTACTTCATGGGCAGTGATCAGAACCCATTGCAAGGCCGCCCAGGAATCATATTCGCTTGAAGGCAAGAAACCCCCCTAAAAGCTGATGATGCCGATTCCATCAATTAGCGTCGGCCCATCAGCCTCCTCCTCCCTTCCATCCACAACACGTGGTCGAGGAATTGAACCCCATAATATTTAACGGTAATTGATAGCTTAAAATCGTATATCCCAGGTTAAATCAGTATCACACTCTCAAGAATTGTTATGAAGGCTCAATATCTGGAATGAGATGTGAGCACACACGGGCTTTGGGAGGGAGAATCTGGTATCAAGATAAAAGTGGGTGGTTCGAGCCTGAGCCATTCAGGTGTTGGTCACCTAATCAGCAGGGAAAGTGGACTATGTTAGGGATAAAGCGATTAAGGGAGGTCGTGCAGTGCCCAACTGAAGCTTTACGAGTCACATATGTGAGCACCACCTCTGTATATTATCGTGATGTAGTCTCGAGTGAAGGTCTACAGAGACGCAGAGAATAGCAACACGGTGTGCTCAGGGCTGGTGCTAGGTTAATTCAAATTAACACGGCAACGAGGGGTGGGAGGGGTCATTAACACATTCCTGCGGAGGGAGCTGGTAGGAACGTTGGGTTGCTCGGTCAATGGCCAGGATCAACGGCGGCGTGGTGTTTTCCGCAAATATGGCCGACTGTGAGGGCGGGCACAAGCCGGCGTGAGTAGGTAAAACGTTGAGTTTTATAAGGGCACCACGGGGTGACCAGCCCCTCCCCACCCAGCCCCACCCTCCCCACCCAGCCCCTCCCCACCCTCCCCTCCCAGCCCCTCCCCATCCTCCCCAACCAGCCCCTCCCCACCCAGCCCCACCCTCCCCACCCAGCCCCTCCCCACCCTCCCCTCCCAGCCCCTCCCCATCCTCCCCAACCAGCCCCTCCCCACCCAGCCCCACCCTCCCCACCCAGCCCCTCCCCACCCTCCCCTCTCCACCCAGCCCCACCCCTCCCATTTTTTGATTCACGACGGACGGACGGACACAATAATCCCCTGTGGGCTGGTGGAACCAGGAGGTTCCTACCAGTATTATTTGTCATGTCAACCCGTAACGTCGCTCACCGAGGTCACGGCTCATAGGATGCTCACACTAACACAAGTCTGGCCATGTTATTTTAAACAGCGGCAAGACAATGCGACAACTACATACCGGTTTCATCTCCGTTAGGAATCGTCAGGACAGTCCAGGCAAACATCGCCGACTGCTGCTGCCTTGTGTCTCAAGATGCATTTTTCAATGTGATGAGATTCTCATAATTTCGACCGTGTTAGAGTTGGTTTTATACACAGTACACGTTCAATAATGGGCCTACGGCAAAGAGTCACCCCGTCCCGATGACGATCTGCCCTCAAGTTTTACACTAATAGAGGCAAAATCAGTGCCTCCTCGCTTTATAACGAGCAACTGGAGTCAAGTCTCCATAATAAAGCACAATCGCTGTAGGCTTTCCATAAAGTGTCAGGAATTCTATTGATTATGATGATTGATTGAACCCCTGAGATAGGAACTTCGCCTTCCAAAGACAGGGCCGCGAGTTTGATATGATGATCACAATCGTGTTACACTCTCTTCAGTTGGGGCTTCATGGTGGGATTATAGAAGAGGTCAATATCCATTGTTGTACTGTAGTTCTATGCTGTTCGACTTCACCAACCCGCGCTAACTACCGTGATGAAATGTGGTCAATGTAATTTGGCGATATGGCCGAGAGGTATAGCGTGTTACATTGGTTCACGGTTCGAATTACAGAGACCGCCCTGGTTATTACTGCGGGCGTAATGACCGGAATAACACGCCCCAGCTGCCTCACAATGCACGTTAATGGCCCCCTGACGACATTCGTCACAGTAGACCATTGTGTGCCGGCGTTAAGGTTCAAACTTTACAAATTCTATAATTACCCACACATCGCTCAAATGGGAGATGACACGTGGCAATCATTGCCCACTCTTGCAATTAAATTACGACTATCCTCATCTCTTGAGTTCCCTCCTGGTGGCTAAACAAAATCAACTCCCAAGAGACTTTCAATTAACTTAGTCGCTTCGGTGACGTTATTGTGAGACTGTCGTAAGATCCAGTGGCACAGCGTGGGATATACACACGCACACACGCGTGTTGCGTGTAGAGACTGTTGGGACAAGTGATGTTAGTGAGGACCTACGAAGGCCACTGGCACTGTGGCACACGAGGGGGTGGGTGGCCAGCACCACGCCCGGCCGCCTTTGTCTCCCCAGTGGCGATGTTTACTACACATCGCACCAGGTACTCATTTGAGGCAGAGTCGACCTAGGGGACCCCAGGACCGGTTCAGATAATCATGAATTACGACAAATTACGAATGCAATGTACAATGCAGTATACACAAACAGCACATACAGGAACGGGCAGTACACACGATGAGTATATGTAGAGCGCACCGTGGCATTACAGAGACGGTACGCACATCACACACGTATGTCAACGTACACACAGTACACACACACACAGTACACACACAGTACACACACACAGTACACACACACTACACACAGACAGTACACACACTACACACAGTACACACACAGTACACACACACAGTACACACATAGTACACACACAGTACA